CCAAACCTATTTTACCAGCAACCTTTTCCATCTAAATTGATGTCATCTTCATCCTTCTAGTTGTTCAATCCAAAAACCCTGTAATGATCCTTGACTTTCTCTTTCATAGCCTACATCTACTTCACCAACAAATCCTGTTAGCTTTACTTTTGAAATATATTCAAAATCTAACCACGTCCTACCAACTCTACTGCTACTACCAAGCTGCCATCATATCTCACATGGAGTATTGCAATAGCCTCCTCACTGGTCTCTCTGGCTATAGTCTTGCCCCATATGTAGTCTATTCTCTATACAGCAGCCAAAGGGATTCTTTTTGAATGTAAACGAGATCATGCCATTCCTCTCTTCAAATTCTACCATGGATCCCATCTCACTTAGGATAAATTCTCAAGTTTTGCTTCTAAGGCCCTACAAGAAAATTTATACTAGTGACTCCCTTTCTCAAATGCTACCTGATATTTTGTACAGTCTGTGTGAAAATAAATTAGGGTTATGGTGGCAAGCACTGTACTATCTTAAATTCAGGCCAGTAATAATCAGTACTGTTATACTTCCTTGGAATCCATAGTTAATCCTCACAAATTTAAACTCTATTGAAAATATTTATTGATTTGGATAATTAATATTATCTTTGCTCTATCGTTAGGAAAAAGGGACTGCTATGCAATTAGAAATGTAAACAGGAAACATCATTAGCTTTTCCTTTGGGCTGGAAGGCCAACTTGTTATTTATTTTCTCTAAAGCACTTATAAATTCACTTTGTGTGATAAACATGTGGTCAAAATCAGTTGTACTAAATGCAAATAATTCCTGGCCATGTAAAGTTTTGAATTTCTCTATGCTTCATATTCCTGATACCCTTTCTTGTTCTTATCAGAAGCATTACTCAATCAATTTTAAGATAAAAAATTGCACAAAACATCCTTTCTTCTCCTATGTTTATCAAAGTTATCTTCTCAACTTGGGGAACTGGAGGAGGCTTTCGCCATAGCTATTTGGCAACCTCACGACGTGTGACTCAGTTGAAAGTGTATAAAAAGTTGAACAATAAGGGAAATGTGGATCTCAAAGTCTATGTACTTTGCTCTAGGAGAATAAAGATCCACCCTCAGGTTTGAACCTATGAAGAGAAAGCTTTCTGATTGAACTCCATGGTTATCTAGTTTCCATTTAGGTTTTAGCAGATGCAGATCAGAAAGAGGGAGGGGCTACTAGAAGCATGTACTCTAAGAAGTGACAGAAAGTGCAAAGATAGCAGAATTTATAGTAATAAAGCTGTTTAGAGCCATCTAATGTAAAGCCCTAAACACACTGTCACGTTATAGCCCAGCCAGCAAATAATGTTCAAGATGATGATGGGAACCATCTGCACACATACAAAAAGAAAAACCCATAAAATAATGTCTAGACATCATTAGCATGAAATATATTTTAGAAAAATTTCTACCTAAAACGGTTTGAAAATGTGAAACTGGTATAATCAAAGCAGTACATTTTAGTTTTGCTTATGTGGTCCTGCTTATTCTCAGAATATGACAGATTGATGACGGCACGTTAAACATACATGAGGTTAGCGGATGACTGAACCATGACCCTGTGGAGAGAAGAGGTCATTTAAATAGCCTGGGATCAAATCCAGCCCTATTACTTATCAGTTGTGGGGGTTTGGATTAATCATGGGAACACTTGGTTTCCTTAATTATAAAATGGATCTCACAATTCCTACCTGTAAAGGTTGTTGTGAAGAGTTTATGTACAGAGCCTTGTGCAAAGCATGTGCAATTAACAACGACAACATCTGTAAATGTTGGGAGGCAGTCACTTACATTCATGACTTTCCCCTGCTCCCTCAAGACAGCAGTGATGGACTCAAGTTTTCTCCTTTCTGTATGTAGGAGGTTTTATATCAGGACCTGACCATAATTAGGTGATTAGGTCACCTGGAGGTTCTCCATGGCTGGGCTCATGTAGACTCGTGGCTGACACCCTTTTCCTTTTACAAATGACCCTACTCATTGCATTGATGAGCTCCTCCATCCTCCTGTTTCAGCATAGGCTAGCAGACTTGTGCATTGCTGGATCCCACAGTCCAAATAGGCCTTTGAGTCAAACTCCCAACCAATCTCTGCTGCAGTGTCCTTAAAAGATGACCTTGCAGATGGTTTGCTTAAACATTCTAGTATGGAAGTTCCCTATTTTTTGGCATAGCTACTTTCATTTTGAGTGGCTTTTATTACTAGGCTTCCTGCATTATTCTCTGTGTTCTCATGCATTAATTCATGTAATACTCACAACATCCCTCCGAGATGGGTATAATACTATCATCAGCTTTAAAATAAATTAGGTGCAGGGAGGACATTACCTGCCTAAAGTCACACAGCTAAAAAGTGGCAAGACTTAAGTCTTCTTCTAAATGACAGTACCATGATGGAGGAGAGCTGTCCACTCTAAGTTTTCTCTTCCATGTCTGAACTGTTCTTCAAATTATATTATTTTAGATGCATCCACTCTCTTATTTATTTTCTTCTGGATACTCTCTTGTGTTTCTCTAAATTTGTAGTCCTCAGAAATGAGCATGATGCTATAGATTATTTTGTATCTAATACTTCCATTAACAAAGTCTAAGATAGTCTAAAATGGATGTATCTTTTCTTGGGGATCCATGTTGGATTTACAGCTCATATAATGCATTTATTCAACCAGCTTGACTGGGCTGCAGCAGTAGCTTACTAACTGGTCTCCCTGCTTCTGCCCTTACCCCCTTAGTGTTTGTTTTCTAAGTAGCAGCCAGAATGACCCTCTTAAAACTTTTGCCAGATCATTTCTCTGCTTGAAGTCCTCCAATGTATTTCCACATTGTTCAGAGTAGAGCCGAAGTCCCACAGTTATCTCTAAGGCCCTCCTGGTGTGAATCCAGCTTCCTACGCGACTTTACCTCCTGCCACTTTTCCCTACACAGTGAGCTCTGGCCACAAAGACCTCTAATGTTCTTGAGATCTGCCTAACCCTTTAAACTTACTGTTCCCTCTGTCCAGAAAATTCTTCCTACAGATATCCACATGGCTTTCATCACTTCTTTCAGGTCTCTGCTCAAATGTCACCTTCTGAGAGAGGCCCTCCTTATAGAAAATCTTTCTCCTGACCCCATAATTCTCTATCCTCCGTCTCCTGCTTATTATAAATCATAGTATTTATCCCCAACTATTTGTGTCTTCCATCTACCCTAACCTCATATAATACAATATTTATTAGTGTATATCCAATATCTAGAATAGTGCTTGGCATACAACAGGTAGTCAATAAACAATGATTGAGTCAAGATTCTTGTTTTGGACATGAACTGTTGTTTATCAGAGGACTGCCTAATCCTGTACTGTATGGCTGTTTCAGGGAACATCTAGATCTAGTCATAGCACTTTACATTTTGTTAAATCCCTTATTGAAATGGAAGATATTAATACATTGTGCATTTGGATTTTTTTTTACTATTATATTCTTTTATCAGAGAGAAAATAAGGCAGGCAGTACCTGACTTTTTCCTAGTGAATCTCTAATGGATATATTTGTCCAAGTGCAAACCACATTCTAAAAATTACCTAGTTTTGTCAGGTGTCAGGGTCAAACTCTTCCCTCTACCATTTATGAAATCCACCTCCTCCCCTGACCCTTTTGAAAATAGAACAGCTCTCCTGCATCTCCAGTCTTCTGATTTTTTTCTGGTTCTCTATTCTGTCTCAAAGACGATACATTCCTTTAGGCCAATCATTTTTCTGGGTCCCATCCCCTGGGTCTTCAGTGCATTCTTTCCATTCTCAAAATGGGCTCAAAGAGAACATTTCTGGGTAACTGTCAGAACATTGACATCTTCTCAAAGGAAAGTGAACAAAAATTCCAACAATTCAGTCAGTGCTTACAGTTGGCCACTGTGAGCTAGTTTTCCTACACAATCACCGTAGACAATTCTCCCATTTCCCTCACTTCTCAAAGTTTCTTGGCTTCTGGCATTTTCCTGCCCCACTGTTATCTCAGGCTCCTAGTCCATCTATTTTTAGCTTCCAGATTTTATATCTTGCTTTCTCTATTTCAATTTAATCATGTTAATCTTACTTTCTGCTTCAGTGAATTTGGGCTACTTCCATTACCCGTCCGCCCCAGACCCGAGTGCTTCATTCAGGAAGTTACTTGAGTAGAAGTTTTTTTCAGCTTTTATTAAAGTAACATTCCAATTCTTTGTTCAGAGGCTCACGTGCTGCTCCCCTTTTTCTTGTCTATTTTTTCTCTTAAAGCTTGTGAGAAGTGAGTGGACCTCAGCTTCCTCGAATGTGGGAGGAAACTTTTTGAAACTTCTGCACTGATTTTTCCCTGCAGCATCTCACTTTCTTTTAACACTATTATTATTACTTAAATTTGTCAACTGCTTTATTTCTTAAAAGGATAATGTATTTTGATTCACATTAAGGATAGCGAGAATCCATCTCTTTTTGATGTGGTAGAACCAAATCCATCATCTTCAGTGAAGACAGAAGGCCCTCTGCCACTCTTTAACTGCCTCCATGTTGCTCTTAGACTGCTGAGTACAACTTAGTCAAGAGCCTATCATTAGAATCAGACTGCATGGATCCATGTCCTGGCTCTACCACTTACTAGCTAAGTGAGGTCTGGCAATTTAGTTCAGCTCAATTTCATAATCCATAAAATGGTGATAAAAACATTTGCCTATATGTTTATGGTGATGCTCAAATGAGATATCATAACACAAAAACACTTTGAACAGTTCCTTATGATTTTTTTCCTGTTCTACAATAATGTATACAACTTTGGAATAAAGAGGAGTAGTGGACATTTTTTTTTAAAGCTTTGTTATTGCCACTTCACTTGAACCTGGAAGACTTGTTTTTCTGGGTGAAGAAATATTTTCTTTGTGTGAAGGTTTCATAATCACAATCAGGCCCCTGAACCCTGCCATTTAAAGTGACTCCTCTCTTTTATTAATGACACTCAAGCCTACACCCTGGGAATGAGGACACTGAGCCAGCTGCTGAGATTCAACAGGATAGCCACTAAAGTCTCTTTGAACTCTATATTGCCATGATCCTATGTCTATGGATAACTAGAACTTGACATGGACACTCTGGATTCCATACCATGTGGAGTAATTGTTACTTCCATGTGACTTCTACTGGGTTTTTAATAGGTAAGTGAGAGGCAAGGAGGAACACAACAAAGTCAGCCAGTGTTTAACATAGTCATCTGGGAAATAGGAAATGAGCCTTTTTAAGTTTTTCAAAGCCAGATCAGGAGAGTTAACCTGTGGAGCAGAGAGTATTCTTACAATTTTTAAAAATGGCCATGGCAATTAAAACTGATCAGAAAGAATGAATTCCACAAAAACAAGGACAAAGTCATTGAAAGGGAAAATGTTACCCAAGTAGAGAGTTTCTGTGAATATGAGCTTGAAATAAAAATAAATGAGGGATAACTGACAATTAACATAATTGTCTGAAAAACATATAAACACAAACAATAGCCCCATGATCCCTAATTCTAGACTTCTTTGGTTACTGTAAAATAATAACATCTTTAGTATATATTTAACAGTTTTTAAGTAACATATAAATCAAATGTCCACGTTTTGATTTGGCCACACAATGATAGGAGAGTTAAGGTTCTTAGAATTAATAACATTTGATTATTTGATTTACTTTTAAAAATTATTCTAAAATCTTTTACATATATGTCCTCTGCAGGATGAACTTTAATCTTGGTTCAGCAGATTGTTTATTGTTTTCTTCTCCTTTTCCTTCTTCTTTTTTTTGTTTTGGTCTTTCCTGCTCAGTGCCCAACCCAAGTTCAAAGGCTGATGAGAGAAAAATCTCATGAGGAGGTTTTACTCTAGGGAAAGGTTGTTCAGTGGCTGTGATCTTGGCTCACCAGGGAAGATGTCAAGCTCCTTCTGGCTCCTTCTCAGCCTTATTTCTGTCACTGCTGCTCAGTCCACCACTGAGGAACAGGCCAAGACATTTTTGGACAAGTTTAACCACGAAGCTGAAGATTTGTCTTATCAAAGTGCACTTGCTTCTTGGGATTATAACACCAATATTACTGAAGAGAATGCCCAAAAGATGGTGAGTTCTCTTAGCTGCTTAGGGGTATGTGTTGTTTCTTAAAGATTAGATTACTGCACTTAAAATTGAAAAGGGAAATCAAAGAAATGCTCTGAGTTGTGAGGTTCGCTGTTTGCCTCCATATCTCTGGTTCTGGAGTCCCAGGACACTAAACTTAATTGACCTTGGGGTTCGTTTGGAAAATTGTTACTAAATAATTCACTGGTCTCAATCCAGATTTTTGGAAACAAGTGAATATGCTTTATAAAGTTACCACCATGGGCCAGGCGCAGTGGCTCACGCCTGTAATCCTAGCACTCTGGGAGGCTGAGGCCAGTGGACTGCTTGAGGTCAGGAGTTGGAGACCTGCCTGAGTAAGAGCAAGACCCCGTCTCTACTAAAACTAGAAAAAATTAGCCAAGCAACTAAAAATAGAAACAAAAAATTAGCCGGGCATGGTGGCTCGCCCTTATAGTCCCAGCTACTCGGGAGGCTGAGGCAGGAGGATTGTTTGAGCCCAGGAGTTTGAGGTTACTGTGAGCTAGGCTGATGCCACAGCATTTTAGCCCGGGCAACAGAATGAGACTCTGTCTCAAAAAAAAAAAAAAGAAAAGAAATGGAGATTATATAGATGATCCTAAAGTTACCACCATAATTCTCATCATAGTCAGGGTTTCAAAGCATTTCATGGACATGCTGTAAGTTATTAAATTAATAATTTCTTCTAGCCTACAATATCAATAAGAATATCTAAAGATTCTCTACAAATGATATATCAACTGAAAACTGCAACTGGAGACTTTAGCGAAAGAACTAGCTATTAATATTAATTGAGCTAAACATGGGTTGGGTGAAGCTGGACTTGGGAATTTCTTCCCTCATTGTTGACTTCCAAAGGTCACAAAATCCAGCCACGGCCCTCCAAAAACACTAATAATTAAACCAGTTTTGATGAATCTTAAAGTGCTCTGGGAAAGCAAGATGCTTTGTTTGACAAGGACTTAGGAATTTCTTCTCTCACAGATCCCAAAGTAGTATCCTTACACATTTAGGTACTGGAAAATTGAGCAACATTATTTAAGAAAAGATTTTTGTGGCACTTGTTCACCAATATTTTCCTTCAAAAGTGTAGTTCAGAAACTTATCTTCTCAAACAATTAGGGGTTACATGTTTACATTAAATTACTGTCATTCACTGAACAGATAAAATCTGAGACCTACTGCTGCATTTGAAATCCCCCAAGAGGTTTTGTTCTATTTTTCTAAAGCTCCAGAAAACCCAGGAGATTTTGATAGCCCAATTTTGTCATGGGAGATGTTTTTCTTGTCTCATATTTTGGTCTTACCTCTTTTTATCTCTTCATCTTTCCATTCTTTCTTTTCCCTCAATTTTTATTTGATCTCTGCTAGAGGTGACTGCAGTGTACATGTATTTGTTTTCATCCTCAGTTGAATGGCCCATGTGATGAATGTAGACTAGCGTTATGCCTAAGAGCTCAGGAGCCAGATTGCTTATGTCCAAATCCTGGCTTCATCACTTTTTAGCTGGGTGAACTTGAGCTAGTTAATTTACCTCTCTGCACCTTAGTTTTTTTTTATCTGTGAAAAAGAAGATTAACACTCATATCTGCCTCCTAGGGTTGCTGTGAAGACTGAATTAATACAGAAAACCACCAGAATAGTGCTTGATGCTTGTGCACGCAGGAGAACAGTAAGATGTCATTGTTATTAGTGTAAGAGGGAGTTAGGATTTTTGAAAAGACATATAACAGTTTTGTTGAGAGCCTAGATGTTGAGAAGCCATGTCGTGGAATGAGATGTAGTGGTGTTTGCTGAAACCATTTCTGGACCGTTAAAGTGCTATCTTTTTGGCTTGTACTGGTTGATTAGAGCAAAGACCTGAAATGAAAGAGCATAAACTGGAGAAAAGTATGGGCCCTTTAAAGGAAAAGTGAGAACACTTAAATGCAAGAAGTAAGCAGGGGGCCTGATACCTCTTTCCTGAAGCAGTGGTGAAGGGTGCATTAGTGCACCTCAGTGCACCTCTGTGGGTTTACCTGGGGAAGGAGGCAATGAGTGAGGAGGTGAATGGTGCCTCCTTCTATTCTCTGATCACATATATCGAGATCTCCTGATGCAATGGGCATTGTGGCAGGTACTACAAGAGGTACCCAGGTAAGCAGGCTGTTGAGATATGCTACTCTCCAAGAGTAGTGAGTGCACATGTAGTAGGATCAAGTATAAGTGTCTGATATATTAAGTGCGGATTCTGGGCCAGATAGCCTGGCTTCAAATCTTAGCTCTGACTCTTACAAGCTGAAAGTCTTCAGCAAGTTTCTTAACTTCATTGAGTCCCAGTTTCCTTATCTGTAAAGTGGATTATGACCATAATATTGGTCATAGTATATGCTATATAGTATTGCTGAAGTTAACAAATATATGATATGTGTGTGCATGTGTGTGTGTGTGTGTGTGTGTGTGTGTGTGTGTGTGTGTGTGATATTGACACTTGGTACTGTGTCTGGGACTTAATCTCTGCATCAATGTTGACAAAAACAATATTATTATCCAGGGCCTTTGCATTTTTGCATTTGGAAAGCTCACAGTCTCACGGCTATCTCAAATGGGCAGTTCCAAAATAAAGATTTACCTAAAAAAGTTTGAGCTGGGGGAAGCAGGCACCTCCCACCTCTGGGGCTCTTCTGAGGTTCACAGAACAGCTGTTGGGGGAATATAAACCAGAAGCAGTCATAATGTTCCTTCCTTTGCCTGCTTCTTGGCTTGCAGGCAGCAGAGAATTCAGGGTCAAGGATTAAGAAATATCATCCTTGATATGTGTATCTTTCTTGACAGCAAATCTTTCCTGCACAAAGGGGAGAATTTGTTCCTGTAAATTTATATACTACTGACTTTACCCTGTGTTTTATCAAAGACCAGTATCTGTTCTCCTAAGACATGCATTGACTCACTAAATTAAAAACAGTGTAGATTTATTTTAATAAGACTATGTGATGATCAAGTTTATCTTCTTTGGGATTAACTATAAATTAACTTCTTGGACAGAGAAAATAACTTGCTCTGTAATCCCCAGTGTTTAACATTTGCTAAGCAATGACTCATTCTTAACTGAAAGTAAGTAAAACATTTGAAATTATCATTAATATATTTAAGGCCATTTGGTGTTTCTAATCTTGATTTTGCCATATGTTTGGTACCTCAAAGAAATTTTACAAATTCTGAAAAAATTTCTTCAATAAAATAAATATTTATAATATGTCATAAAACAGGTTTTTGGCCGATCATGACTACATAGACAAGTGTTTGGAAAAAATGATTCAAACTATAACTGAAGCATAATGTTGCCACCAGAAGTTGTGCTATATAGTAAAATTATATAAATTGGAACTAGTCTTGAAAATCCAAGTTGTATATATGTTGGCTGTTCCTAGGAGCCAATGAGCCACCAGAAATAACTTTTGACTCAGGAGAAGGACCTAGCAGTTATTCAAGATAGCCCCCTGAGGACTGTAAGTCAATACGTTTCCATGACCACAATGGCTAGCATCATTCAGAGGGTTCTAGAAATAAAAGAGAGAACATTATCCTATGTCTTTAAGAACACCATGCTGGTGGTCATGCTCAAAGGAAGAATTTTAGAAATGGAGACTGGCTGCCATAAAAGAGCAATTAGAATGATTTAGGAGATCAGAGAGAGTTGGGAGCTGCACAAAGCCTGACTCAAAAGAAAAAAATCGTCTGAGATGGAATAAGAAAGGATGATATTCACACTTGTACAAGAAAGGTAGTGCCTCTGAAAGCTCAAAGAGATAAATTTAGAATCAATAGAAGGAAGTGCCATTTGCACCACAACTGGTAAAACTGGTAAGACTTATAAAACTGGGCCAACCTTCAATCTAAAAGTGTGAGACATTGAAAACTATAGGTTTTTGAAGTATTTAAGCAAATGTACGGATTGTGGATCCAGTGTGGGTAAGGAAGCGTGGTCAATTGCATCGATGGGCCCAGTTCTTCACCCTTCCCTGTAATAATGCCCCAGGTCATGTCGCTTTGTAGTACCATCCCAGTGAAGGTTATGTGATATGTCCTTTGCCATGTGACTTGCTTTGACCAACAGGGTGTTAGCAGACGTGATGTAAGCAGAGTCTTGGAACGGACTTGAATAATGGAGCTTGTCCTTTGCATTTTTGCCTTTGCCATGAGGACCTGCCTGGCTAGCTAAAATCAAGAGACACGTGGAGTAGTAGCCCCAGCATAAGCTAAACCCTAAAGTTGTAAGCAAATCCAGCTAAGATCAGCAGAGCTGCCTGCCAACCCCCAGTGATTCTAGGAATATAAACAATAAACACTTAAGCCATTGAGGTTTTGGTTGGTTGTTATGTAGTATCAATGTAGCTATAGATAACTGACACAGGAAGGGAAATTTGGGTTGTATGACATGTGTATATTCATATCCTATCAGAGTGACATTGAAGACAATCTGCCATTCCCACATTGTCCCTTGGTGTAACTTTCAGGTGTCAGAATATTGGACTTGTCAGCTTATGAATACAGAGGGCATCGAAACTTGATCAGTATAGTGTCATAAAAGCTGCATACCTAGGAGTGTGAAGGGGTCCACCAGATAGAAAGAAAAATATCTTGTTTCAAAAAAGATTTCCAAAGCTCTCTCCCTTCTTCTGCCATTGTGGTGTGTGTGGTTGAATCCATTTCTCACCATGTCTTCTCACAAGACTTTCAGGAACAAGCGATTCCTGGCCAAGAAACAAAAGCAAGATCATCCCATTCCCCAATGGATTCAGATGAAAACTGGTGATAAAGTCAGGTACAACTCCAAGAGGAGACATTGGGGAAGAACAAGGTTGGGTCTATAAGTAATTACAAATGAGATGACACATGTATTTATGCTGTATAAAGGTCACTATCATCTTAACACATCAAGCTGAAAACACCACCACTACAACCTGGACAATTAGACATGTTTTATTGGGAAAATGATTTTCCTATTTGTTTCTATGCTTTTGCACTAGTAGATTGGTTTGATAATTAACATGTGAAACCTTTTGTTTGAAAAACAAAAAACAAAATAGGTTTCCAAATAGTTCAGAAATTCAGTGAAAATTAATTACCAGACTCTTGTCCTGTGCTACACAATGAATTGCCCTCCTTGCTTTACAGCAAATACAATGCTCATGTTTGAGATTGAATATTCACCAGTTAAACTGTAATTATCTTCTCACTAAAATGCTGCTGCTTTTTTTTTTTTGCATTGCTTCTTCTTTGTAAGTTTATCCTTGGTTTGTTTTTTGAAATAGGGTCCTTTGTAAATCTTCCCTGAGGGTACAGGTATGGAAAATTAGCAAATTCATTATATGAATCAGAACATTAGTAAACAGCAGGCCAGCCAAATCATTAACCTAACTGGGAAGATGAAATAGAATAAATAAGAGTAAGATTCTAAGCAAATAAAAAGATAATAAAAATCTTTCTTATTTGTTAGTTCAACTCAATCTTGACCTTAGCTGGTACAAAGGTGAACCCAATGCTATAGGGAGAAATTGGGGCTTCCTAAAAGCAGTTTCAGAAAGGGCACAGTTGACCCCCTTACTTTTTTGACAAAGTCTTGCTCTGTTATCCAGGCTGGAGTGCAGTGGCATGATCATAACTCAGTGCAGCCTCAAACTCTTGGGCTCAAGTGATCCTCCCACCTCAGCCTCCCAAAGTGCTGGGATTACAGGCGTGAGCCACCGTGCCCAGCAGGTACAGTTGATTTTTAAACTCAGAAGCTCTCCAGGAACATAGGAGGTCCCTGGGCCATTTTTACCCTTGGAGAGAGCAAAAGAATCCCATTGCTAGCAGAGGCATCCTGGTTCACTGTTCCAGTATTTGGCAGGAGCTACTACAGCTGCCCCAAACTCCTGTTCATGCAGCTGAAGTGAGTATTGAAGACAGCCCTGGTGGAACCCAGAAGGTCTCCAAGAACGCTTCACAAATATTTCTTGGTGAGTTATCAGAACTTGTGAAAAGAGAGCAGGAGGCCCACACTTACTCTTTGAGTGGTCTCTAGGACTTCTTCAGTCCCCTGCTGCCAGTGCTCCTGGGGTCCTTGGACACGCCCAATTTCTGAACCTTCTCCTCTGTCTCCAGGGCTGGAGTCGCAGTGAACTGAGAGCAGGGTAATTCTAAACTATTGTTCTATAGATACCCAAGGAAAGAATGTAGATAATCTCTGTCTCTAATGAGTCTGTCCCATGCTCCTTGACACACATAAATACCTACACATGGGC